GGGAGCGAGCGCCTGAGGAGCCGGCGGCGGGGCCGCTTTGAATCGCCCGTCACCTCCTCCGCGGGTCACCTGCCCGGCCCAGGTGGGGCGATGCGGAGCGGAGGAGGCTGCTGCGGGGATTGCCGCCGCTTCTGACGGATGTTTGGCGTGCGTTTGCCTCCGCTCCCGGTTTCTCTTTCATCTGAGGACGCCTCTGGCTGAAGCTCTGTTAAACTCTCTGCCTTCTGGTACCGTTCGCAGATAGCAGAAAGAAACCTGAGCCCGAAAGGCAATTCCCCACCTTCTTCCACCTAACGTAACCTTTTCGGGCGCCTTTGAAGGTTTGCTGGTGCTCCGGCGATGATGGCAGCGGTGGGTTCCCTTGGGCTGTACTAAGAGCCTCTTGTTTTCTTTTCCCTTTCTTCTTAGAGGCATTTCATCTTTAAGGGCCGGCTGCTCGCACGCACTTTTATACCCACTGAAGCGATCGAGAAACCATGTTGTCTGGTGGAAGATGTGCGTTTCTGTGCCTTGGAATGATCTTGAGCTTTTGGAGCTCCGTGAGTTGGATGCCCGTTGGAGGATGCCCGCATAAATGTACATGTATTGCTTCCAACGTGGATTGTCACGGACTAGGACTCAAAACTGTACCGAGGGATATTCCCAGGAATGCGGAGAGACTGTAAGTAAAAACCGTTAAGGGCTCCTCAAGTACTTGTAGAAGCACCTGGGATGAGTTTCTCAACACCTGCCTATCAGTGCAGAGTACATCCTAACAGCAGTTTCAGTAATCAAACATGGATTAATGTTTTCAGGAGGGAAGGGGAGGAGCTTTTCAGAAGTTACAGCTATCTTGCTGCTGTTCCTGCTTTAAAAAAAAATAAAAAATCAGTCGGTTTCAGAGTTTCACGGTTTTTTTGGTGGTTTCGGTTACCATCTGATTGGGTTTTGCAGTGACTTGTTTGTAATGGAGTTTAGAGCTCTACCTGGAGTGTCAATGCAAACACCAATTTAATGTGCAATTAGAAACTTGGATGTTTTCACCTGGTGGCTGGTAGCAGTTTCTCCTTACTTTCTCAGCATGGTGACTTCATCGCCATGGAAAAAATCCGTGACTGCCATAAACTAATTCAAATGGATAAGAAGTCATATTAAAGCAGTGTCTAATTTCTGTCTTAAACTGCTGTGGGGAAGCTGGTTATTTAATTTTTAATCTACTTCAGGGTTTATGACAGTAGTGTAATGTTGCAGAGTGTTTCCAACCTCAGTACGGGAGAATGTAATGAATGTGTTCATAGTAAATATTCTGTATCATATGTTCTCATGAGTTTTTTTAGTTGATTCTTTTTACTTAAGTTTCTAAGGAGAAAGCTGAAAGCAGACTTCAGTTCTCTGATACAGTTCTGGCACTCGCTTGGTGCAGAGGACGGCATCTCTGACGTTGCTTAATGCATAGCATATGGCATATTTCAGAGAATGGCCGGTGCTAGATATGAAGATGTCCAGAGTGGAATGTTAAACAGAGCTTCAGCATGGCTCTGTGCTGGGCTCCATGAATGACCTCGGGAAAGTGCAGTTAGTTGTGCCTTATGTCGATTAGCTGATAATTTAAAATGTTTCTGAACTTGTAAGAAAATGCTGTAGATTGTATAGCCTGACTTCCTATTTTGTACCCTTCTGGGTCGTAGAGTTGGGGAAACGTCAAACTCTCAAGCAATATTTCCTCCAAGAAGGAAAGCTGGATGAAGTTACTACGCAAACAAAGTTTTTGTGCATAGAGTCCTCTTAAAGGCTAAGTTCTGTCCCAGAATGAAATTTTATAGCATTTTTGAATGTTTCTAAATGCCTTTTATAGTGCTGAGAGTTCTTAAATGATAGCAATATGCAGATTTCTTACTACACTATTCTACCATCTTTAATGTTTTGTGGCTGTATCGGCCTTCCTTTTAACGCCAGCTGTGTGAACAATAGTTTTCAGATGTCAGTTTTCTAGAAAGCTTAACTTCTGTGCACAAAATTGTGTACTCCCTAAAACTGATGGGCAGCAACCTGGCAGATTAGAGACAAAAAAACCCTAACCCCAAAACAACAAACCCCACAACAAACCGCTACCAAAGTAGTATACTAAGCCAGTCAGAGTAAGTATGTGTGATAACCCAAATGTTTTGTGTGCTTCGTTGTGTTTGCGTGGATTTAAGAGTCAAAAGCTAGAATTGAGCTTACAAATTTCAGGTTAAAATGATTCACAAATGCAAGGTTAGTTGGCCACCTGAGAAGAATTTAAAAATGGTGATTTGTTTTTGCCTAAGTTTTAGGGGGACTGAATTGATTTGGTTACTGCGTTTCGTTTGTGGGAATGTACTTCACAGAGATCTTAACTTTCCTTGCCTTTTGTAAGAAGCTAAGCCAAAAGAGTATGTGCCTTGGCCTTGGTATGTTGTTAAGTGTTAAAAAGAATGAAAGAGGGTGTAACCACTGTGCTCTCGGTCCTGATAATTTTTGGTGTTATTTACAGATTTAAATTTTAGATTAATGGCTGAAGGAAGAACAATGGTAGCTATTTCACAATATTCGGTTTGAGTATTTAACCTCAGAGATACACTACTGATAAATATGAAATGTAGCTGTGTTGGATGTTTTGTTTGTTTGGTTTGCTTTTTTAAAATAGTGTATTATTGGAACATTCAGTGGCTGAAATCTTGTGGAAATAGCATACAGAGGATCGTGTAGTAACACAGTATTCCATGTTTTTAAATAGTCTTCACTTTTTATTGCTAGTCCATCATGAGCCTTTTGCTGTTTTTACAGTGTTCACTGTCATCTTTGTTACAACTGTGCTTTAAAGCTTGTATCAATTCTTTCAAATCTAGACTTCTATTAATTGCACTAACTTGAATTTTCTAATGTAAGCAGTAGAGAGAGAAAAAGACTTTATATTTCTCTGAGTCTAAATTCTGCTCATAGGTGAAATATCAGTCAGCCACTGGATATATCGGAGTATCTCATTTTTCTCTGTGGTCCACAGCAACCTGTAACTATTTATGACATAACACTGTGTTGATCTGTAGTCTTTAACTAGTTTGTTTAACTTGTAAATAAAACCAAATGATTATATCTGAAATGACAAAGATATTTTTAATCTCAGAGAAATATTTATGTGTTGGGAAAATAATTTTCCCGAGTTTCTTGATGGCCACATACCAAGTGGCTTTTTAGACTCTTATGCTGTGAAAAGGTCTTCACTTCTTTCTGCATTCTCTTGAGCTAAAAAATCTGCATACCTGTTCAAGCTGGAAACTTTTTGCTTTAATTAATAAGACATCTAATGGCACCACTTAAAATAGTTTGCCGCTAAGCTTTGAGTTATGTTTGTACAAATGTTACAGATTGTTTGGGTTAGTGAAGCCAAGTTAAATATTATTTAAATTTGTGTTAATATGAAACCCCAGGAAATCTGAAAATATAACATTAAGGAAAAAATGGGAAACCTCTGTAGTTCTATTAAATGAACTAGTGATCGTTTCCTGATACGTCAAGAAATGGGCATCACCAGAGCCTTGATTACTGATTCTTCATGAGAAAAGTGATGAGTGCTTTCTTCTTTTTTTTTTTTTTTTTGAATGCTTTGAAGGTGTAGTCTTTGTAAAGAGTTGTACCTGTGATTTCTGTCTTGAGGGGAATTCACAGATTAAGCAGTGATCACAGAAACAGAGTTGTAAAACTATCTTAAACTTTTTTTTACACAGATTCATCTTTAATAGTAGCTTTACAAATATAGCAAGTAGTACTAGGTTTGTGTTGCAGTTTACCTTGTTATTACATTCTGTGATAGTCTTTTAATTGTGTGGTATAGATTGAAGCTTTTGCTCAGTTAGGTTTTGTGAAGAGCTAAAAAGAGGTGAGTGTTGTATACTACTGCACAAAGAAATTATTCAGTCTGGAGAAAATAAGTGTTGAAACAAATATTTGTCACTTCCAGGAGTAACTTCCATTTACCTTTGCTCTAGAGAAGGAACCCTCGGAATAGCCATCATTGCACACAGGAAGACACAGATGTGAAATTAGGTCTAAGACATTTCCCCAAATTGCAGGATGTGATGCTCCACAGAGGACTTTGTACATGAGCAGGATGATATAGCTGACTTTGTGGCTTGTTGTTAGTATTTACTGATCCATTCCACCTTTGTGAAGTAACTTAACATCCTAACAAAAAAAAGAAGTTTATAGAGCTTTTGTGTTGTGGAGAAAACTAATAAATTAATAGTCAACTTTTGAGGATGGACACAGCGATTCTTTTATTTAAGCTATGCTTAAAAACTGATAAGATGTTTTGTGCTAATAAAGGAAGCAGAAGTTAGGGCTTAGAAATTAAGAATATGTAAATACCTCCATAAAAGTATTGAATCTTTTACCTTTCTGAAAAGTTCCTTAGGATCGCTTCATCAGACTCCTCTAATCAGAGTTTGCTTAGCAGCGCTTCAGTTTTTATATGTGATTCTCTATGAAATGTTCTTCAGTGGAAATGTTTTCTACAATATGTAAAATATTATACATGTGGCTTTTTATAACACTTAATAATGCTGATAGTCAAGTTTAGTTTGAGATGATGTGTAAATGCAGTGAGCAGATCAAAGCCACCTGCTTGACAGTTGTATTCTTCAGCTCTGAAAGGAACAAGTGATATGAAGAAGCTGCTCAGGAGTCTTCTGGGTCAATATCTGCTTTCTGTTTGATTATGAAGCATGAGCCTTTGTGTTTTTCCTTCCATTCATATCTAGTTATCTCCCTGTCAGTTAGCAGCACATTATGCATGTATAAAAGTTTCTTTGGAGAATTTAGCCACGTTTGAGTTCATGATGAATTTATACTTGGTGGCTTTGAATCTTGTTTAATTGATAGCTCTCCTATGTTAATTGCTGTTTTGTTTTGTCTTTTACTTTGAAGGATTCTTTACCTTGCTAAATTGATAAAGCTTGCAAGACTAATCTGTTCTGTGCTTTGTCTGAGTAGCTAAATTGAGTGTGTCCACATTTAGGTGCAATTTAGAAGCTTAGTCATCTGCTTACTCTGGAGTTTTTTATGTGGTCTGGGGTTTCTGTTATACAAATATATTATTATGGTGTTTTTGGCCTAGGTGCATGTAGCTGCTGAAGTTGCACTGGCTTGTAATAAGTCTTCAACTTCCTCAATTTTGTCTCCAAATTAAATCTAAGCTCCTGTCTTGAATGCTTCCACATTACTGCAGAACGCAATGTTAAACACACGGAAATATAATTATACTGACTCCTACATTGACTTTCTGTTTTTCTAGAATTCTTCCCACTAGGGATTGCCACTCATTTAAGTAATAGTCTCCAAAACCTTGCATGGAGCCTCTGCCTGCCCCCTCCCCCCCGTCATGTGTCAGTAAGTAGACATCCACAGCTTTGGCTTCGAAGAGCTTGTTCTCAGAGGTACTGATCCTGGGAAAACTTGACTGAGTTGCTTAGTTTAATTTGGATATTTCCCTTTACTAACTTAACGCTGACTACTTGTGCTTGACTGGATGTTGACATGCACTTGTATAGGATCAGAGTCTTGCGCTATTAAATTTGTTGCCTCGTTTTGAAGTGATGGAAACAGGAAGAAGGATGAAATTAGCTATTGTAATTTGGTAGCTACAGAAGCAAATAGTGGCTGTTG